CTTGATGTGAAGATTCCTACCCTCTCAGTTGGCATTTTGAGCTACTACATCCATAAGTATAACTCAATTTCATCAAATTGTATCGAGGCTTGGTCAAATGGGTAATATCTGGAAGTTTGCAAATGGGTAATATCTGGAAGTTTGGACATTCTTGTACATCTCACCTCACTTCTTATCAGCTGCATGCTTCAGTCTCAGCTCTAGTCCTATGTGGCTATGTCCTTGTCCAAGATTAGGAGTCCCCAGGTCTCATCACACTTCGGACAAACCAGTCCTTCCTCTTCTTTCTCTCTCATCTCCAGGTCGACGGGGGTCTATGGAACATGGTTGAACTCAGCCCATATCTTCATTGCTGCCTTTCTCCCATTTCCACTCACCAGGAGACTATTGTGGTCACCAGCAGCAAGCTTACATGCCTGATCATGTGCTTCCTTTGAGTTTCCGTCTTGGAGGGGGGGGTTGTCCTGAAGGGACTTGATTGCTTGCCTTTATGGCTCTCTTAGCAAACAACTTGCTTGTTCTTGTAAGTAGCCAATCATACTGCCGTTTTTGTTTGCGATTTTTCCTGTTGGTCTTTTTTTCAAGACGTTTCTTATTAAGTGATTCTTAAGTAAGACATTCCAGTTAATTCAAGTAATGAATAAGCAGATAATCTTAAAGGAAATACTAAAGAATTGTATTATACTTGTAAATCATGAACGTGAACTGAATGATTGTGATGTTCACTATACAATACACTAATTTAATGTTCGTAAACAGTATGATGCCACACAGAATATATCATCTGGGTAGTATGAGATGGTTCTCCACTACATGGCCTCACATACAGATTTTGTTGGTAAAATAAACAGTGTGGCGTTGTAGGACAAGAACTCAACCACAAGGTCGGTTTGAACTGCAGTCCGCGGTTCAAACTCACCAGCTGCTCCTAGGAAGCCCTATACAGGGTCGCTTTGGTTTGGAAATGACTAGACAGCACTTAACAACAATAGTAATAAAGAAACATTATTTTTTCACAATATAAAGTCTAAACTGATAGACAAGACAAAGAAGTCCATTTTATGAGGTCATTCAGGAGACTTTCTAACTCTATCCAGTTGCACTGCCAAATCAACATAGTCAATTTATCACCTTATCACATTCCAGATCACAAAATGGGAAGGAGAAGACAATGGAGCACACTTTTAAGGGTGTAATCTAGAGTCTGTACATAGCATGTCAACTAATACTCACTGACCTGAACTTATTAAAGTCATGCCTAGCTGCAAAGGAGGATGCTAAATGGAGCCTTGAGGTAGGCAGCCAAATACCCACCCAAAACTTGAGGGTCATTTTTAAAAGGAAAAAGAAGGAATATTGGGGGATAACCAGTATTCACTAAATCTCAAGAATGGTTTCTAGTTCAATGTTAACATTGAAAATACAGGATTTGAGGAGCAGAAAGAGTCCTTATCGATCATCCAAGGTATCGTTTTTAAAGAATATTTATCTTTAGCAATCCTTATTAAATATTTAGGGATTAATAATGACACACTGTTTAATTTGTGGGGTGGGTATAGAGATGATAAAAGATTGGCTACAAGTTAGAAGTGGGTAAGTTACATAAACTGGTACACGGGGATCTTCATTTTGGTGTCTGTTTAAAATAAACATTTAAAAAGTTAAGAACAAAATTAAAAATAATGCACCACCAACAATGCTAAAGAATAATACTGCCCTACTCCTAGTGTGGCACTGTAGGATAAAGGACTACAAGATTGGTTTGAATCGCAAAGTTACCCTATAAAGGGTCACTATGAGTCAGAACCGACTCAATTTAACACCATAAGCACAGTTTAGTACTTTTAAATGTTGAATAATCACCCTGGCTCTTTTCTTAGTAATTTATTATTTGACTTCTGGAATTTTGTGGGGTGACACACTTACTCCAAAACATTTTGGTAAAATTAAAATTTCAGAAAGATTTCAATTTTAGAGTATTATCATCTAGACAAAAATGCCAAATTCAACAGAAAGCTACAGGCAAAGTTATTTCCTTACTAGGTATCAAAGGAGTAAGGTAATTTTTGTCACCACCAATTAAAAACTTTTACGAAATAGGACTGTTATAAAACAATTAAACCTTGCAAATACACTAGTCTCCAGGAACAAAGTCCTAGAGGAAATTCTGCTTATTAAAATTGCAATTTTAGTTTCCATTAAAAGGAGAATAAGACAACAGAAGATGGGTTGGCAAGACAAATTATTTCTTAATGTCAGTTGAGCTTATTTCAAATGAGATAACATATCTACACCAGGTTGGGTTCAGTACAATTTTGTCTCCTCAACTCATTTATCTAATTCAGTCATCTTGATTATAGCCTCATGGACTTTATTTTCAGAGAGAAAGAATTCTGTAACAAACAGCCTACACAACATGCTGATTACTGAACAGTTAATTCTAATTAACTTGGGCATGGCAAGAGAATTTTGATAAAGTCCTAGAATACAAATACTGTCTGCTTATACTTGTTTAACTTAAATAAAAAATCCACAGCATAATCTCCAGACAAAACAATAAAGTCAAAGCGATCTAATTTAAAGAAACAAATGAGAAAATTAAAATCACAAATAATTTATTCTTCCATTAGAGTTGATACAGTTTTAAATAGCAACAAAGTACACAGTGGTGGAAAATTGGCACAGAACCTACAAGGATTTCAATCACAATAAGGCTGTCCATGCTTTCTCTGTTCAAACCTTGATGTCATTTTCTACTGCCCAACTTGGGGGTGGGGGGGTGGGGACGGTACACACCTATATACCAATCTTAAAACACATACATAAACTCTCTTATGCGCACATACACACACAGACACACACTGAAATTCCTCCTTTTGATTACAGTATGTTGAAAACAGTATGTTTCACTTATTCAAATTAATGGTACTCCTGCTGTTTATTTCCAGTTATAAGTGGGGGAAAAAAATTTTTTTTTCAATTATAAAGAATTATTCTTTGGACATAGGCAACTGTGATGAAAATAGTAACTTACCTTTGGGTTAAATGTTTTCAGATATTGCCTAAACAATTGTGTTTAAAGATGTCTCCATGCATGCTTTCCTGCCTCACACAACATCCCTGAATTTAGTTAGAATAATCAGACACAGGGCAGTCTCAATAATGATTACTACACCATGCTAATAAACAAGGCGATCTAGCATACAACCTCTACGCTTTTAGTACAAATCAAAATACAATCTCATCAGCAGAGCTGTCTTATATGGACCAACGTAACAAAAAAGGGAGAAGCCAGAATGTGTCCCTTTATAAATGGCATTATTTCCAGTTAAGAAAGTTGAAATGAAGGTCTGTAGTCTCCTGAACTATTTAATTAAATAAACCAATTATCCTTGTAATGTTAAAAAATAAAATTATCAGATCAATGTTGACTCTTCTTTGACATCATTTATAAAATTTTTTGATATTACTTACTTAGTTCCCTGATTACTCAAAATAATATTAAGACTTCCACTTTCAGTTATTGCTATTTTAGGGGAGGAGGACCATTTTCATTTACATGAAACTGTTACCAAAGATTCTTCAGATCTAACATGAAATTATTGCCTCACATTTTAAAACTGTATTATAAATGATCCTTATAAAAAGATTTTAATCCACAAAACTGGAAGGCTTTTTAAAAAAATGTCCTTTGACTGAAAACGGTAAGACAGTGCCCTTGATGGCCTGCTAGATAGAAGGGATTTGAATGTCCTATCTGAGAAAACTAACAGTGGACATATGGTGCGCTTGGTTTTCCCTCACCTTTACCTTCATAGCACACCACTTTGAGACTAACACAATCAAGCATCTACCACGCTCCAATGCAAATTAACATAGGATTTCTGATTCTGCCCAGTGCGTAGTGTACTGCCTTGCATATTCACAAGAAATAAACATAATATACAAAATATTGCTGCTGTAAAAAGTGTACATTTCCCTCTTCCCCTTACAAAAGAATCTGTGGAAAAGTATTAAATTCCCTTAACCTTCATAAACATACAAAGCTGTTCACACCTTTCAGTCTGTAACAGTCCATTTGAAACAGTTCTGAAATCACTGTAAATTGGTTATGTCATTGTATTTTCTGTCCAATGTTGCCATCTAGAGTAGAAATGTGAAATTAAGAGTATTTTTGAGCTACTAAAGCCTCTTACAACTAAGCCATGAAGGCTGCTTACTGAAGAAACAGCCAATTACCCACAGTTTTTTTGCAAACACTAGATGGAATGGAAGGGTCTCACACAGGGAGGTGTCCACAGTGCTGAGGTGACAATATGGCTGCCGAGAAGTACTGGCTATTGGAATGTAAACACTTGTTCACTGCTGGTAATTTCCATATTGTCCCTAAAAAATAATTTAAAAATATTATTAGATAGTAGTTTGATCATAATTTGACCATAATAGCTTAGCATAGATAATTATAAATAAGCTATTTTTTAACATTGCCATAATATAAAAGCTATTGTACTTAAACAAAGTCGTATATATTTATTAGGTATATAGTATCACTCTATTAATTTCTTGTGCAAGTACATTAAAGTGTACATCGATTTCAAAAATTCTAAATACGTAAAAGATTAGTAAATGACCTGTCAGTAGGAATTTAAATGTTTGGTGCATTTTTATTTGAATTGAACAATAATAAATAAGAAGTTCTATCTCTAAACAGTAATATGCAATATATTGTTGTTAAGTGCCTTCGAGTCAGTTCCGACCCACGTGACCCTGTATTAGGTTTCCGGAGCTGTAAATCTTTACGGGAGCAAAAAGCCTCTGCTTTCTACCACAGAACAGCTGGTAGTTTCTATCTGTTGACCTCGAGGTTAGGAATCCAACAGGTAACCACTACACTATGAAAGCTCCTTATGGTATACATTAGTATATCAGTTCCATGTTACTATGACATCTTGTGGAGTCCGTAGGGGTGCAGTGGGTTATGGGTTGAGCTGTTAACTGCAAGATCGGCAGTTACCGACCAGCCACTCCATGGAAGACAGATAGGCTGTCTACTCCCGGACAGATTAGCAGTCTCAGAACCCTGAGCAGTAGACCTACTCTGTCCTATAGGATCACGATGAGTCAGAATTGGCTCAACAGCAGGAGATTTGGCTTTTGGTTCAGGAGAAACTTTAGGTATGTTTGTTCTAATTGCTACTCAGAACTAACAATAACAAGTGGTATGGATGGAAAGATATTAAGAGACTGAGAGAGGGTAAAGACCTTTTATACGTGTTAAAGAATTTGGGACTTTACCTGAGGCCAACAAAGTGCCAGCATGAGGCCAGTATGTAGCTAGACACTTAGGTCTTAAAATCAGGGAAAGTTTGTTTTACTATTTTTAATAAGTAGACTTGAAGTCTATAGAGTGACAGAGAAAGAGAGTACACACACAAAAAGAGATGGTGAATGAAGTAACAAAACCTCTACTGAGGTGTGTGGCTGGGATAATACCCAGTATGCCTATGCTACAGTTAGCTTTTAGATGGAGGAAAAGAAGGCATATCATCTTTTGTAAGACAAAAGGAGAATAAAAGAATCACACATACAAATACATTTTATAAAATATTTTGTAAATGTGTTTAAAACTTGGTGTTAGTCCCACTCATGGTAACATTTTGTATAAAAGAATGAAATGTTGTCTAGTTCTGTGTATAACAACATAGTCCTCGTTGGAAGCACATAATTAGCAAAATGTTTCCTTTGGCTACATTTCCCTTTAGAAATTACATTTATTGTTTTATATCAAGTAAATAGTCTAGAGTTGAAATATTTCTGTACCATAATAGTACCTCTGCTGTTGCTAAATGGCATCACGTCGGTTCCAGCTCATAGTGACCCTGTACAACATCGGTTCCAACTCACAGTGACCCTGTACAGCATCGGTTCCAACTCACAATGATCCTGTACAGCATTGGTTCCAGCTCACAGTGACCCTATACAGCATCGGTTCCAGCTCATAGTGACCCTGTACAGCATCGATTCCAACTCACAGTGACCCTGTATAGCATCGGTTCCAGCTCACAGTGACCCTGTACAGCATCGGTTCCAACTCACAGTGACCCTGTATAGCATCGGTTCCAACTCACAGTGACCCTGTATAGCATCAGTTCCAGCTCATAGTGACCCTGTACAGCATTTCTGAGAAGGGGCTAGAAAGTTTGAACCATATCCTACAGTGCCACACCAGGACTCCAAGTAACACCTTGTTGTTATGTGCCGTTGAGTCAATTTTAACTCATAGCAAACCAATAAAGAAAAACTTTGGTCCAAACATTTTAGAAATAATAGTAGCTTAACACAAATCTTTCAGAAAACTGAGAAAGAATTCTTCCCAACTCACTCTATAAGGTCAGTAGTATCTTAATAACAAAATAAGACAAATGCGTTACACCTACTCCTCACTTACTGACAATCTCATTATCTAACGACTGTAAGAAATTATGTGGAGTCCTGGTGTGGCACTGTGGGATAATGCATTGGACTGTGAGGTCAGTTTGAACCAACCACACAGCTGACGATTAAAACTCACCAGTTGTTCCTTGGAAACCCTATACAAGGTCGCGAGAAACCAACTTGACGGCACTTAACAACATGATAAATAATAAAAAGGGAGTCCTGGTGTGGCACACTATAGGATAAACACTGGACTGATAAATACAAAGTTGATGGTTCAAACTGTATACAGTCGATATGAGTCGGAATTGAATTGACAGCACTTCACAACTATAAAAAGATAATTAAAAACTCACTATCAAACTATTGTACACATTAATGATGCACACACCTGGCAGTACCGAACACTGAGGTACAAGGAAAGAGTAACTCTGGCTTTGATGGTTAAGGGTCAACTTGGCTGGACCATGTCCCAAGGGTCTGACAGATATTTAATGATGTAAATTGGGATAGGAGTCCTCATGTGGCGCTGTGAATTAATGCGTCAGACTGCAAACAAGGTTGGCGGTTCCAGCTGCTCCTTGGAAACCCTATACAGGGTCGCTATGGGTCGGAATCGACTTGACAGCACTTGGCAACAACAACAACTTGAGTTATGTAATGATGAAATTTGGCAGTAATGGAGTGCCAATAACTTGGAAATTATGTTTTGTGATGTGATGTGGTCACTCTTCATTTCTGCATAATGACCCAGTCTTTGGAACCTACCTATGTTGATATGTGAGGAGCAGGTGTATAAGAAAATGAAAACAACAGTCCAGTATTACCCATATATATAGACGTGACACTCTGGAACAAAATCTTAGCATATCAAATAATATAAAAAGGTTAATACAAAAGGGAGTTTATACCAGTTATGTAACATTGATTTAAAAAGGTGAAATTCTAGCAATGGGATTCAACATATTAACAAACTGAAAAAAAGAAACCGATTCTCTCAATAGAGAAATCATGTAGAGAGGGTAGCATAATCTGACCAGTGTTTTCAAAAGATCATTCTGCGTCCTATGTGGAAAATATCCTGTAACGAAGTCAGGATAAAAGCAGGGAGACCAATTAGAGAATATCACAATTGTTCAGCTGAGTGATAGCTGATGAAGTTGACTTAGGTAAGGTCAGGAGGTTGTGAAGAATGGCTAGATTCTGGAAGAGGAGATGAGATTTTATGACTTACTGGATGTATGATTTTAAAACAAAAGAGGAGTCAAGGATGACTCAAAGGCTTTTAGCCTAAAGAACTAGAAGAATCTAGAAGTAGCCTCCTAACAAGGTTTTCTCTCTCAATTAGCTCCCTTTTCATTTATTCTGCACAAGGCTGCAAAATTAATCTGCCTAACTACTACTATAATTATTATTACTATCGGATTTAAGAATTTTTATTGGTATGAACCTCTGAAACTATTGTCCTGAGATAAACTTTAACCCTTAAACCAAAACTATCCTCGGAAGTCTTCTTAAAACCAAACAACAGTTTGGCTAACCTAATAAAGGATGTCTACCTTGAGCATCAATGGACTCAAGTGTGGCAACAGTAGTGAGGTTGGCCCAGGATCGGGCAGTGTTTCATTCTGCTGTGCATAAGGTCACTATGAGTCGGTACCAACTCGATGGCACCTAACAACAACAACCTTGAGCATTATGCTCTTTTGTACTTATATGGGAACAAATGGACAGTAACTCAAAAGATTAGACAGGAACCTCAGGTGTTAGTGAGATTAGGTTACTGGCAGAAGAAAAACTTAGAAAAGGAGAGTGAAAATGGTTGCATGACTCAAATATACAAAGGGGCTTCAAAAAGTTCATGGAAAAGTCCTGGATAGAGTTTGACAAAAACATGGAACAAAACTCAAAACCATAAAAAAGATCAGGCTTCCTGGTCAGATAGAAACTGATGGCCTTTAGTCACTCCTCAGGTTTGGAAATGAACTCCAACCCCCATGACTCAATGTACAGTGAAATAATAAGAAACAAACCTATGTGGGAAACAGTATCACTAGGGAGGTACACATTTTAGAACAACCAACCATTTGAGACTAAAAGGGCAATTACCTAAGAATAAACTTTAAGAATGATTAGGAGAGAAGGAAGAATGGACACAGGGAACACAGGGAGGAAGTGGAATGAGTGATGTTGCCTTGTGGGGATTAGAATCAATGACATAAAGACAAAACTTGATAAAATGCTAAATGGAAATCTTACTTGTTCACCCCATTCACAAAAAAAGGGAAAAAAAAGTTTGTGAAACAATTCCATTATCTTTCATTTTCATTTTTCCATGAACTTTTTGAAGTCCCCTCTTCATCAATGTCAATGCATTGTTCATATAGACATTGTTGAATTGGATATGTTGTGCTATGTGTATGTTCTCAACAGCAACCACAAAAAATAAAACTATTGGGGGGAAAAATTCACAGTGACTTTCCATTGTAAACCATCTTCAATATGGACTGTTGCTGTGATGTGCCATAGAGTCAGTTCTGACTCATAGCAACCCTGTACAGTGCTTAAGAGGCTGTGAATCTTTACGGGAGCAGAAAGCCTCATCTTTCTCCCGTGGAACAGCTGGTAGTTTCGAACTGCTGGCCGTGAGGTTCGCAGCCCGATTCGTAATCACTACGCTACCAGAGCTCCTTTCAAGACAGATTGTTGTTGTTGTTAAGTGCCATCGAGTTGGTTCCAACCCACACAGACCCTGAACAGGGTTTCCAAGCCTGTAAATCTTTACGGGAGCAGAACGCCTCATCTTTCTCCCGCGGAGCAGCTGGCAGTTTCTAACTGCTGACCTTGCGGTTCGCAGCCCAATTCGTAACCACAATGCTACCAGTGATCCTTTCAAGATGGATTACTATCCCTAAAATTAGGAGATTGGGTGTTTGTGTAAGACAACACATAAACTATATCAATGTGGGCAGTCTACTGACAATACAGTAGATGCAATGGCTCTCTCCTCAAATCCTTTTCTAAGGGAGAAGGAGATAGACTCAAGGACCATGTCTCTCTGGCTACTGCATAGTCCTGAATTACTTACAACTTTAAGGAAAAACTTCAATAGAATAAGGATGATATTAAAATAATTAAGTCATATATCTCTCACATCTACCCAGTGCCAGCCACTGCTAGGTACCTGATGCACATCATTTAAAAATCTTCAAAAATTTCCACATCGATATCAGGATAAAGGATCTCTGTTAGCGTAGTGGTTATGAGTTGGGCTGATAACCTCAAGATCTGCAGTTTGAAACTACCAGCTATTCTACAGCAGAAAGATAAGGCTTTCTGATCCCGTAAAGATTTACAGCCTCAAAAGCCCTACACAGGGTCGCTATGAATCTGAAGCAACTCCACGGCACACTACCATCACCACCACTACCAACAGGATAAAGACTAAGAGCCTTAAAACAGTTTTATAAAAACTTTAATAAATCTAACTCTAACATTTCTCTCTAGTCTGTTATCTTTTCCCCAAGGCTTCTGTTTCACCACGAATCCTTTGTGAGTTCTCTTCATTCTGACTAGAATACCCTTCTCTCCTTTTCTCATAAAATTCTCCCAAATGAACATTTTTTCTAAGTATTTATCACACTAAATTATAATCATCTATTATATGTATCTTCATCCAGACTTATGTTCACAAATGTAGAGTCCATGTACATCTTCCTTTCCCAATATACCCCAATCGTAACCCGGCACTTGGTATAACTGCTGCTCAATAAACATTTGTTTAATGACTAGGGAAGTTTAAAACATACTAATTTACAAAGAAAAATGGTCAGTTTAGTCTGTATCATGCTAAAGTTGAAGGAATGGCAAGAGTTCCAAGAGATGTTCTCTACACAGTTGGGAAAAGGAAACGGAAGTTAGATTGAGAAGCAAAAACTAAGAATACTTTTGAAAGTATAAGACGGGATGACAAGAGATGAAGAAAAAAGGGGTCAAAAGTAATGAAACAAAAGGAAGCCATTAAAAAAAAATCACTAGAAAGTAAGAGAAACAGAATAACACATTATGGGTCGGAACCGACTCGATGGCACTTAACAACAACAATAGAAGAAATACATATTTAATGCTGAAACTAAGTTAATGAAGATCAAGATAGTTCGCTGCTCCACGAGCCTTATGGATAATGTCTATTTTACCATGTAGAGCATCAGATGAGTCCTGGTGCAGCATTGAAGGGTAAGCGCTGAACTGCTAACCACAAGGTCAGCAGTTCAGACCCACTAGCCATTCCTCAGAAACCTTGTACAGGATGACTATGAGTCAGAACTGACTAGACAGCACATAACAACAGAATATAATATATTATCCAGCACATGTAGACAATTCACCATTATTGTTGTTAAGTGCCATCTCCCAGCAGATTTCCGAGGAGGGGCTAGTGAGTGTGAACTGCCAGTGCTTATCCAACACTGCCAAACCAGGACCCCACTAAATACTCAATAGTCAAGACTTAATTTTATTTTTATATCTAGACAAAACCTCTGCATGATCCTTGGTTTTATTTATCCTAGTGGATATATGTATCGTCCTGGTGTGATGCTACAGGATAACACACTTGACCACACGGTCAGTTTGAGCCACAAGGGCAGTGGTTCAAACACACCAGCCACTCCCCAGAAACCCTCTACAAGGTCGCTATGAGTTGGAACCGACTTGATGGCACTTAGCAACGTGTGTGTGTATTAAGTATGCATTGTCTGTTTGTACTTACACTTACATCTCTTACATGTCCGTTATCTTTATCTCTTAAATAGAAGTGCTGGTACAATGGAGTGAAGGGAGAAGATGAATAAAAGAACTGTTCTAAGTCAAATTCTACTTAGTGCTGCATATGAGCTGTTCCACAATGAAGATCACCTTCATTGGTCCTAAAACCCCCAACTTCCATATCAAGAATACTTCTATGTAAAAATAAACTATCTTAGATACCTTAAATAGTAAACAGACTAGATTACTCTCATTGAAAAGCCATGAGACAAAACTGAAGTCAATCTAAAAGAATTACCAATATAATAAATCATTTCCATTATAACTTGAAGTATGTATACCGAATTCATAAAAGAAAGACTATGGTACAGATTATAAATCAGAGATGTTTAATGACGAAAGGAAGGAACTTAAATGAGCACTAAGGTCCAGGGAAATACAGCCATCTAAAGATGAAGTACACTTCTACATATCTGAAAGAAGGAAAGATAATAGGGGAGAAAGAAAGATTAATAATACCTGACATAATGTTTATGTCTATGGAAGGACGTAACAGAGGCAGGTGGGAAGTGGGAATTTACAGACAGGGTTATCACAGATTTGAAAGCAGCTGGAAGATATGTTCCAATGAAGATGAGAGCTAAATGAGAGAACGGACACAGGCTGGACTCTGCATCTCTGTAAGTCAAGGCACAGTGTTCAGCAATAAACAGGAGGGAGTTCTGAGAAGGTCGGGGCATTAAAAGAGGGAATGATGTTCAGAATGGTGGTGGTGTGCCGTGGAGTCGGTTCCGACTCACAGTGACCCTGCATACGGTTTCCAAGGCTGTAAATCTTTATGGCAGAAGAAAAGATTTTCTTTCTTCCATGGAACCGCTGGTAGTTTCAAACTGCTGGCCGTGAGGTTAGCAGCCCAACTTGTAACCACTATGCTACCAGAGCTCCTCTGATGTTCAGAATAGTTAAGGAAAACATTCCTACAAGTAAAGACAAAATAGGGCGAGAGGCTGAGAGAAAAGAGAGAGAATGAATGCTAGTGCCTAGAGATACAGCATATTTTGCATGTGAGGTCAACTATGCCTGACTGTGCTCATATTCCATTAAAATAAACTTTGTTAATTCAGGTACCATCAGCAGGAGGGAAAAATGAGCTCTACAGGAAAAGTATTTTACTCAATCAAGAGTGACCAAACAATGAGACAATCTCAGAGCAAGACAAGTAACTGACCTGGTCATATCCATAAGGCCTCTGTTGGGGCGGCTGTGGTGGTCCTGGTTGTGTTGGTCTATAGCCCCCATATTGCTGACCCTGTCCCTGTGAGTAGTTGGGGTACTGAGGACCTGGGCCACCCTGTGAAGGACCTGAAAAATAACCAACACAAACAAAAATCCAGTTAAAAATATCTTTTACAAGAACTCGGGAAAGGATTTAGAACTACATGTTCATAAACTTTTATGAATTTAAAAGGATAGCTTGATATCTTGATTTTAACAGTACTTTTGGGAATAAATTTCAAAGTTATAAGAAAAATGGAAATATTGTGATGCCACCATCACATCCAACATACTTAGAAATGGTGTTAACTATTGTGCTATCACAGAGCCATTAACAATTTATTAACCGACTTATTATAATAATAATTTAAAATACAAACTTGAAAAGTCAATGGATGCATGGAGGTATGCACGGGGAACTCAAGTTAATATTTTACCAAAAATAGTTAATAACATTTTTTTTTTCAAATTCCAAAGACAATTCATCAAAACAAAGTATTTCAAATTCTAGAAACTGCAAGGGACTGATTTATTTTCCAAAGTGATATTTGCTTATTTAAATTATTCTACAACTATCTATTTTGAAAAAAAAAAAGAAAAAAGCTTTAGAAAGTCTAAGCTGTAAAGCTCTAACTCTTATATTCAAAATCACACATAAAAACATTGATCTCAGAAGAAATTATCAAAATAGGACGATACATTTTCAACCTTAAATAAATTCCATCAGTCATTGTTAAAACTCTACAGTTTCTATCAAGATAAGGTCAACAAACTATGGAGAGGAAAAATGGGAAATTCTCCCCTTCAGGATTTAAGATATTTCACAAAACAACATAACTACTCAAACAAAAAATACTAAATTTTCATGTACCCTTTTTCTTCTCTCTAAAAATATTTCTCCTAAGCCAATGAATTTTCCTAATTTAGTCACATCATACTTGTTTTCAAGCAAATGCAACAAAACAGAAAATTCTATTTATTCAAAGTACAAATACTAAATAGCCATGAAGTAGAAATGTTATTTGAGAAGAGTAAGAATTCACAAAATCTACTGAGAAACCAAAAAACCATAAAATCTTTCTAAAGTTGTATCTGTAATTAGAGATGCAGAACTTATCATTTTCAGGGAGGTACCTTATTTAGTGTCAATGTGTATACTGAAGGGGTAAGATAATTTCAGCCTAACATTCCTAACACTCATTCCTACATTTGCTATCATGGGTATGCAGAGGTGTCACCAATGACAGAAGAGTTTAAATCAATGAAAAATTAGACTTAATGATATGAAAAAAGAGACCAAGTTAGCAAAAGATTTCCATATTAGTAAGCAACTCTTTTGCTATCATTAAAAGCACATTTCCTGTATCTACACTGGTTATGTATTGTTGTTATTAAGTGCGATCTATTTGGTTCCAATCTGAGTGAAACTGCATAGGGTTTCCAAAGCTGTTGACACTAGAGTAATTTTCCCTTAGGTCCTCATCATTTTCCACTTCCTAGCCTACAACAACAACCCTAATACATTCAAATTTTTTAAAAATAAAGTCAGATGTCCAGCTAGTAGACAATATATTGTATATACACTTCACCCAAACTCAAGAAACATAGCTCTAATAAAACACTATGGATTATACAGTATAATACAGCTTTCAAAATGAATTGCACCTCAATGCAAAGAAAACAGAAAATTATATAGCTCAATCAATAAATAGCATCATGATAAATGGAGAAAGGACTGAAGTTGTCAAAGACTCCATTTCATTGAATCTAAAATTATCACACATGGAAGCAGCAATCAAGAGATCAAGCGACATACTGTATTAGGCAAATCTGTTGCACAAAACCTCTTTTTAAGTGATCAAGTGCATAGCTATCACTCTGAGGACTAAGGTACACCTGGCCCATACCATGGTATTTTAAATAGCCTCATAGGCATGTGAAAGTTGGGACCCTGAATAAGGAAGACCACAGAAGAATTGGTACATCTGAGTTACGGTGTTGGAGGAGAATACTGAAAGTACCATGAACTGCCAGAAGAACAAACAAATCAGTGTTGGAGGAATTACAGTCAGAAAGTTCCTTTGAAGCCAGGATGGTGATAATGTTGCACGTGTTATTAGAAAGCACCAGCCCCTGGAAGACATAACGCTTGATAAAGTGGAGGCCAGTGAAAAAGAGGCAGATTCTCAATGAGATGGAGTTACACAGTAGCTGCAACCTGGGGCTCAAACAGAACAATAATTGTAAGAATGGCACAGTAGTGTTTTCATTCTGTTGTGCATAGTGACGCTGTAAGTCAGAACAATTCAACAGCATTTAATAACAACAACAAACAGATGCATAGTGTAACTTAACTAAAGCATATAAAAACATTGTATGCTTTCTGAATACATCTCTCTATTCACACTCTAAAATTCAACATCCCCCCAATCAAGGTTAACTGTTTTAGAAACAAATTTGCTAAGCAGATTATGTAGATTTGGTTAATCATCATCATCACCCAAATCATCAGCTTTTCATGCACATACAAAGGTAAGAATGGGTCATAAATGCCAAGTAGTTTATTTTTTTGTCTTTTAAACTAACTTGCTTTTGATCAATGAACCATCTAGCTTATGGTTCTTTTTAAATGACTTACCATTTTATTTCAGAACAGCATTTTAAATAAATGCTCTAATAAGGAAACACTCCAATAATAAGTAGGCTCCGCTAAAATTGTGAATTTTCAAAAGGGGTCATTTAAAATATATATACATTAAATATCTATCTCCACATTCTTGTGACAAAAATCAGCTGTAATAAGCTACTTACCATAGCCCTGTTGCTGTCCTGGATAGCCCTGCTGCCCTGGGTATTGCTGTTGCTGGGGAGGATAGCCCTGTTGTGGAGGTGGTCCTTGGTAAGCATCTTGCTGTTGGCCATATTGTGAATTTCCTATAGGATAATTGGAGAAAAGGGAAAAAAAAAACCTGAGAAATTCCTTTAATTAACATTCTTCTTCTAAAATGCATAGCCAACAACACACAAGATGAAATGCCATATTGATTTTTTTTTTTTAAGTTAACAAAACAAAGGAAAAACTCAAACCAAACAGAAGGATTTCGGCCAAACAAACTGCAGTTAAAGCCAATTTTGCAAGGTTGAACTGCAGCATTTTCAGCGTCTCTGCCATACGAGCATTACATTTACTGGAACATCACAGTCATAAGATCATGACTATGCTAAATAAAATAAAAAAGACAAAATTAAAGACAGCTACAAGAGCACACACTAGCTACACAAGATCAGCAAGCTGTTTCCTATAGGCACTATACTCATATGTAAAATTATATATATGTAAACACACATGAGGAAAAAAATTGGATTGATGCATCTATGCTCAAATAGAAAATTTCCACTGAGGAAAATTATTTATAAATGTTTTAGTCTTTTTTACTAACTGTTAGAAATGACAAATCATGGCTATACATTTTAAATATTTGTAAGGCAATGATTTTAATTTTGGGGGGCTTTCTATAACTTTCAAGACAGCCAGCAGCTAGTATTCTCTACAAGAGCTTTGCATGGGCAGAAGTTGTCTTATGCAAGAATTTTCATCCTCTACAAGGGATATGTGTGTGTATATGTGTGAAGGTATATAGATACCTCCTTCGTAGTAATGTTGTGAGGAATCCTCATAAGGCCTATCGTAGCCTTGTTCAGGATACGACGGTTGCTGATAACCGTAATCATTATGACCTACATCAATTCGACAAGAGACAGGAAGAAACGTTAATGGCCACTGAGTGAAAACCCTAAAAATATTTAAACTTTCAGATAAAATTTAATGAACTGGAAATACATTTAAATAATTTCAATTGCATTAGCCAAATATTTACCAATGTGATTGTTTTCATATTGCATTAACAAGTGCATTTTTTTAAAGTAAAAAGCAGTAGTTTTAGAAACATTACATTTATTGTCTTAACTATGATAATCCTGATTTAAGGGTAAAAAAAAGTTTATCTTCAACTTTTAAAAAGGAGAGAATTAAAGCATTTAGCCTTTCACATGTAAATAACTTGAATTAAATTAGAATGAACAAAGGAAGCAATTATCACATTTTGTCAAACACCTGTTCTGCTGATCTCCAATTCCACAGCATATGCTAAAAACAATGCAAAATATAAAAGAGCTCCATAAGTTGTTTCCCCTGAAAGAAACTGAAATACATTTTTTCACATTCTATTTACCTGTAAAAAGTATAAGTATCTCAAAGTGTTTTCAGATGCAAAAATTATTTTTTAATGTTGCCATATTAGGTCTTTTCTTTAGAAAGTATTTCTAAAGTATCACAAGCATTGTTGTTGTTAAGTGCTGGTGGAGTAGGTTCTGACTCAAAACAACCTTGTAAAGGGTTTTCAAGGAGTGGCTGGTGAGTTTGAACCACCAACCCTGAGGATGAAAGGACCTTGCAGTCCTTTGACTTGTCCTACAGCACCACACTAGAAGGCCATATCATAATCATACAGCTTTATAAAATTAATACTATTTTAAGTACACCTTTAGCTTGGTAGCTACAACACATAACAAAATTCCACCTATACATGTTTTAAGAATAATAAATTTCACCTGCATGCTATCTGGAACCAAATAAAAAATAATACATTTTTTAAATTAAATTTTACAGAGAAAATGTGGGAAATAACCTTTAGATTAGCTGAATCTGAATAAACTTTAGCAAAAATGCATACTTAAGAGAAAACTCCAAAGATCAAGTTGATCTGACTCATGGTACTCCCATGAGGAACATTGTCATAAAAGTAAATAAATGTCATACTCTGGTATTGCCAACATCACCAAACTACCTTATAAATATCTACACATCAAGGGCTGGCAAACTATAGCCAGAAGATGAAATATAGTCAGTGTCTTCTTATTGTAAATAAAGCCTTATTGGAATACAGTCATGCTCATTCATTTATATATTGTCTACAGCGGTTTTCTTCTAAACAACAGCAGATTTCAGTAGTAGAGACCAAGAACATATGGCCCACAAAGACTAAAATATTTACTAGCTGGCTTTCTACAGAAAAAGTCTGCAGAACCTACCATAGCCTAGCATAAATATCTAGATATAATAAAAGCAATATTCAGTGCTATTTTTAAAAATTACTTGATGTAAATATAATCAATAAGTAAATGTCAGACACATACAGGAATACACACCAAAGCAAAATGATACCACTTTATGATGAATTAAAAATTAATTCCTTATAGTAACCTGAAAAACTTTTTATATTCAGAAAAATAATATATTTTTATATTTATAATACAAACTTCACATTTCAGAATGGAGTATTAAAATAATAAAGTCACGTTTAACTCAATTACTTAAAACATATTTTTAAAAAATCAAACATTTAATTTTTAGAAGACTTCCTAATGCATATAATTTAACCAAGTAGAGTTTCTCTCTTTAAAATATCTGCAGTCTATTATAAACTTAAGGACCTCTGTTAGCATAGTGGTTACCAGTCAGGCAGTTGGAAACTACCAGTGTTCCAAAAGAGAAAGATGAGACTTTCTGTCCCATAAAGATTTATAGCCTCGGAAACCCTATAAAGGGTCGCTATGAGTTGGAACCGACTCCACGGCACAAAACCACCACTACTCACCACCATCACTATAAACTTCCTAACATTTTAAATTAAAAAAATAAATCTTAATAGTATAGTTACACAGTAAAGTAAAAATAGAAAAAACATTCTGAATAATTCAGTGCATGAATATCTGTGGTTATAAAAATGCATCATTTTCAAACCAGAATTATCCCTATACATCACCACTATCACTGATAAACACTTATTGTATGTAAAAGACGAGGTGAGTGTTGGTTCCGCCTATACAGCCAGAGCCTCTTCCGTAAAACACCAGTATTCTTAAGTACTGATTCTTGCCTTTATTCTTTATGTATTTACCAAAATGGCAGGCAAAATGATTTTTTAAAGACACCATATTTGATCTTGCTGACTTACATTTTCTTATAGCTTCCTAGTGTCCCAAGTGTCTCTGTTAGGGAACGGATTGTATCAATAAAGCTTTGGGCAAGGGCAAGACCTTTCATAGCAATGAGAATTATTTTGTAAAGTGAATAATCAAGGGTTAACTTTCAGTTTTATATGTTTGAATAATTTTTTGTTCAACTTTTTAAATTTTTGAAAAGTATATATATTTTTTAATGTCAAGAATTATACAGCAAAAACCTCTATGTATGCTTGGATTGTTACTATTTAGATTATCTAAGTGCAGTACACATCTTCACTGCCCACTTTTTCATAAGCCACTTTACCACTAAAATAATTCTAAAAAACTTAATATTGTTGTTAAGTGCCACTGAGTCGGTTCCGACTCATAACAACCCTGTATAGGATTTCCAAATAACAGTTGATGACTTTGAACCACTGACTTTGTGGTTAGCAGTCCAGTGCTTATCCTACAGTGCCACACCAGGACACCATAAAAACAGTAATACTAAAACCTGGTTTTTAAATGTCATTTTTTTATCCTATTAAATCTAAAAAGCTATATTATGAGTACAATTTACCCTTAAAATTTTTTCTAAAATGGATATTGTATATAGACCATTGTTCTTTGAGATGTATCTAACAGAAACCAAGAATTATATTCTCTCTATATTTATACAACACATAAATGAAAACCAATGGGTGAACTTTATGGTATGTGAACGATTTTTCAATAAAGCAGTTACTTAAATAGAATAAATCAATGCTACTTGCTTTGGTTGATATTAGCAATTCTACAAATAAAAGGGTCCTCTTTTATATGAGAGGATTCTTATGACAGAAAATGATTCCTGATGGTACTAATATGGAACAGCCACAAAAAAATATACTTTTAATTAGCTTATAAACAAATGCTATCATTGATTCTTTAAATTACTTAAAGTTTTTCTAAACTTAGAAGAAACAGATTGTTACGTTTCTTCATCCTCATTAAAATGTTTTGAATACCTATCTCCATTAATATTGGGCAGGGGTAGAAAGTGGGAAAGTTAACATTAGGAGAGATTACCATCAGGGTAATATTGCTGGTTCATGCCTTCTGGAGGACCTTGTCCACCATGACTGTATTGGTCCCCATAATAGTCTTCCTGGCCTGAGTACTGCTGTGGTGGGCCTGAAAAACCACAACCAGTCAAGATGTAAATAATTTGTTCTCTATGTCATCAAAGACTTGCTTTCTAATCTGATGTTATGAGAGATTCTCAGTTGTAGGTTCCCCTCCCACTCTCTGGCATTTCAGATATTTTCAACTATTCTTATACATACTCATACAAACACACATAGCAAACCACATTTCACTAAAATTAATGTGAAGACCATACATGCAATAACAAGCAGTACCAATTCAGAGAAATAAACACTAAAGTCTTAAAACGAGGATCAAACTGGTAGACAATTTCCTTTTGGTTTATTTTGATATTATAGTAGTCTGAAATAAAATTGGTCTTGTTCATACATTTATTAACTTATCAAAAACAAAATAAGTCTCCTCTGCTACTAATTAGTGAGTTCTGATAAACAAAATTTTATGATGTAACTTTTCCCCAGAAAAGAAAACTACATACCACTACATGATCCTTTGTATCTACTGTACTTATTACCTTTTAAGGAATTAAGGGGAAAATCAAGAGGATAATAAAAAAATCCAACTTTTCTTTATTATGTTTAAAAACCAAAAGTGTAATACAATTTAGAACCTTCAAATTCTCGTTTACATTAAACAGGAAACTTTCAAAATGGCACCTTACCCTGTTGAGGTGGCCTATAAGGAGGGATCTGTCTCTGACCCATCATGTGATTGCCCTGATGAACTTGACCCATCATTCCCATAGGTGGCTGCTGTCCTTGGTAATGTTGCCCACCTCCCTGGGGCATATTATACTGCTGAGATGGAGGCTGCTGATGCATCATTGGACCTGAAAAAGAGACATAATATAATACATTTTTTTGCATGCAATTTTAAAATCTTAAGAGAAATGGAAGAATACTTTATCACATAACTCCAAAAGATAAAAGCAAATTAAACTTAAAAATCAATGTGAAATAAAATAATTAAATAAATTCATCAATTAATTAATAAATAATTAAATCTCACACTGCTAAAAGAACCTGCAATCAAAAAGCAAAGCAACTAATTCATGTAAGATGATTTGAATACCATTGGAAGATTATTCTAGTCATTTTTTACACATAAAACTATGCACTATCTGAATACCTTGAATATATGTTTCTATTATACTCTGTTATCAAAACCAATTCATTACATAATGGGCTATAGGAAAACCACGCACACTTTTATAAATAGTTTAGCATTAACAGAATTTCATAAACCTAATAATTTTAAGGCAAAAATTTAGAGGGCCTTCTCTCCTTTTCAAAACTATACAATTTTAAAATTTAACTAAAAAGGGTTACACACACACACCAAAAACACCTTAACAAAAACCAGAGACTGAGAAATCAGCACTATGTAGTTTCCAAAGTGAACAATATCAGAGTAGCTAAACTACCACTGCTACAAGTATCACATTGGCAACAGTAAAATATATATCATATGAAATAATCAACAATGGCCATAAAGTTCCATGTTGCCATCTAACAATGTAAGCAGCTCCTCAGAGATTCACTGGGCCAAGCTACTGTGTGGGGAACTCATGATTCTGCCACTGCAACCATTAATGTCTCAGAAGTATGTATGAGTCATCTCCCTGTTTCCTGATAAGATAGTTACATACTTCCTTTTTATTGACTTGGGGACAATTGAAGAAAAAAGTACAAAAGGCAAAAAGGTAAGAAACACTGGAAAAGTTTTATAAGCAAAACTACCCAGATGAGCCAAAAGGTTATTTAAACCAACACTAAAAAACAAAATTAAAGTCCCCTTCTCTTTAAATGTATTGCTGAGCTACAACAGCACAATATAAGCATAAAGACTTCACCTCATTCCAACGTGAAGAACTGCTTTAACTAAAAGAAATGCTTTATCGAGCTCTTATTTTCCTATTCACTTTTTTATTTCTTACTTTTCATATTCCTTTTTACTTCTAATTTTATCTTAAGTAGGAACTTTTCAAAGATTGCTCTGGAGTCTTTTTCCAACAAGAAAACAAACTCTTAATAGTAGATAAGAGTATTCTTAACCAGGTAAGGTAGCTTAGTATAAAATGAAAGAGAAGAAAACTTACCTACACTAGTTAGATTATTTATTTCATATAAATTAAAAACTACTAGAGGTAAATAAGTATCCTTATTTTTAAGGTTTCAGTTGAGCAAACCGAGGAACACTGTTGAGTAAAACCAAGGAACACTGGTGTGGCACTGTAGGATATGCTGAACCTCAAGGTCAATACGAACCACAAGGTCAGCAGTCCAAACTCACCACCAGCTCCTCAGGAACCCTATACAGAATCACTATGAGTTGGAACTGACTCGATGGCACTTAGCAACAATAACAATATATATTCAATGGAGTCCTGATGTGGATCTGTAGGATAAGCACTACTGTTAATGCAAGGTTGGTGGTTCAAGCCTACCAGCTGCTCCATGAAAACCCTATATAGGGTTGCTGTGAGTTAGAACTGACTCAATGGCACTCAACAACAATATATATTGAGAAACAAACTCAAGTTTGATTTTAAAACACGTGTCTATTCTCCTATTCACTACCTCTACTCAAAAATAAGCTATAAAAAGTAGGCACTGGACTCGAACAGACCTTTACATGCTCAGCACTGTTAAACAACAGAAAGGTGCAACTCTAAACCATAATGAAATTTCACTCCCACTCTGGTAGCGTAGTGGTTACAAATTGGGCCACGAACCTCAATGTCAGCAGTTTGAAACTACAAGCTGTTCCACAGGTGAAAGATGAGGCTTTCTGCTCCCATAAAGATTTACAGCCTCGGAAACCCTGTACAGGGTCGCTATGGGTTGGAACTGACTCTGTGGCACATAACAACCACCACCGATAGTTAATGGAGTCTTGGTATGGCGCTACAGGATAATGCACTGGACTACAAGATCAGTTTGAACCTCAAGGTCAGCAGTTCAAACCCACCAGCCGCTCCTCAGAAACCCTAAACAGGGTCTAGAACCAACTCGGTGGCACTTAACATGAAGACAGTTAAAACAAAACTAGAAAATAACAAATGTAGGCAAGAACATGGGGAAACTGGAACACTTATCCACTGATGGTGGAAATGCAAAATGGTACAGACTCTGTAGAAACACAAGTGTGGCGTTTCTCCCTCCCTCAAAGTATCCCCTGAGATCATTCCAGATCAAGCCTGAAGCCACAAAGAGAATGGGGTATGGCAGCACTGTTAAAAGGTGCTTTTCTTTTTATCTATGCACACACACAGATAAACCAAAAAGATGACAAAGAAATGGAGAAACCATGGTCGTGCCAAAAAGGGTCATGGCCAAGTACTGCCTATTTCACTGCATGAACTATACCCGCTGCAGGCCTTTCAAAGACAAGGCCATAAAGAAGTTCGTAATTTGAAACAAAGTAGAGGCCACAGTCGTCAGAGATATTGCCAAAGCAAGTATCTGACGCGTACGTTGCGTCCCAAGCTGTATGTGAAACTGCATTATTGTGTGAGCTGTGCCATTCACAATCAGATGGTCAGGAACCGTACTCCTGAAGCTCGGAAGGATCGAACACCCCCACCCCAATTTAGACCTGCAGGTGCTGCCCCACGGCCACTACCAGAGCCCATGTAAAGACTTGAGTCCTTAACAGGCTGAAGAAACCTAACCTGTAAAAAACAAAATGGAAATTATACTTTTAAATATACGTTTTATTAACAAAACTATGAAAATGTGAAGCAACTGTTTCTCAACATTTCCTCAATCTCTCTAACTCTTCCCAGAACAACCTGCATACTATTATTTATACCACATTAAAACATCAGTTTTTAAGTCAAGGGATTCAAATCATGCTCTTTGAAATGGTCTTTAACTTTAGGTATAAAATGTCTAAAGGGGCAAGATCAGAGCCATAGGTGGATACAGTAGCCCTTGCTATTCTTGAAATATAAGCATGTGCACTGTTGTGACAGAAAAGAGGCTCCTTGGTACAACTTGTCCAGGACTTTCTCCGACTAAAGCAGTTTTCAATTTTCTTAAACCATTTTTATAAATAAACCCCTGTGTTCCTTAGAAAAATCTATACAAATTACCTTTTTGGGTTCTAATACATAGTCTTCCTAAACTTTTAGCTGCCCTTTCCACCTTGAAATTGGCCCAGCAGATCCCCTCAGAAGCTACTGTTCTGAATGGACCTTGTTTTGAAGGTCCCCTAATGAGATTAAGACAAGTAGTTACTGAGATAACGTGTCTGCTGCTAACCACTGATTGCCAAGACATGTTTAAAAATGTTTAGTTAAAAGGTACGTATGGCAGAGATGATGATGTGGAGAAACGGAGTGGCTGGGAACTCTGGACTCCGGGAGAGAGAGGGGCTGTGTGCTGACAGCAGGGGTGGGGTGGGGGGCAGTCTTGCAGGGTGTTCCCTTTGGTTGTTGATTGGTTATATATTCCTGAGTGCTTCGGTGTACATCCAAAAAAAAAACCAGAGGGAATGGAAGCAAATGTTGTTGAATGACGATGCATACAGGGGATTATAATCATTGTAATGAAACAAAATTACAATAGGATGAAGTTGCTGTTCTCCCATGTAAACTATCACACAATTCATAATAAAAACTTAAAAAAAATAAGTACCTATGAACGGAAACTCTAGTAGCAATATTTTTTTTACTTTCCCTCATATAATAACACTTTTGTCATTATAATTTCTTTTGTAACACATTTTTATATGCCTTTCCTCATATTACTCGATGATTAAGCAGTGATTCTCAACTGTGGTTGCTTTTGTCTGCACCATAGGACATTTCCATTTAGCAACGTCTGGAGGTATTTTTGGTGGTCACAACAGGACTGAGAGTTATTACTGACACCTAGTGGGAAGAGTTCAGACAGACTGCTAAGTACTTCCTACAATGCATAGGATACTACTCCCTCTTCCCTAACAAGTCATTCTGCCCAAAATGACTGAGAGACCCTGGATTTCTTCAGGGTATAGTTTTAAACCAAAGGCATTGTCTACAAACTAGTCAGGGAATTCTATTATGAACTTAGCTTTCTGAAATAAGGAAATACAAAGAAATTTGGCTTAATTAATGCAGCAAAACAAATTATTTCTTAAACAATACCTCCTAATTTAGCAATTGTTTTTCCTTTATACAGTAAAAATAACTTTAAAAAAAAGTTATTGCTAAACATCTATTGGAGACTGAGAGGGATGCCTAAGAACTATGAAATTTATGTAGCACAGGTAACAATCAACTGTGAAAATCAAAACCCTAATTGCCCAGGTAGGAAGCCATGGAGATGGACTACATTAGAATGTCCAGCTTTGTGTCCCTTAGCACGAAAGGTGAGGAATAATGAGCCACCTGGCACAGAAGAGATTATCTTGTCCAGAACAATTCTGAGGGAATGAACTATGAATAACATCACTTGGAGTATTTGTTAAAATGTAATTTGTAAAACCTACCTCTAGAGATTCTGGTTTAGCAGTTATGAAGTGGAACACACAAATCATCCAAGGTGATTGTGACCCAGGCTGACCTAGGACCACACATGGAAAAATAGTGTTCTAAAGGAAAGTGTTACCCCTCTACCATTAAAAAGTATATCAGATTACAGTTCATACAAAATCTTTTAAATTGGCTCAACTGGGCACCTGGATCTCGGCAATTACTTTTATCAAGATGGCAGACTAGGCAGATGCACTATACCAATCCGCCACAACAAAGATACAAGAGAGAAAATAAATCAGATGCAGATGAAAATTCTGGTACCCTGAACTTCAGAAGAAAGTTTACAGAGATGGATGGAGTGCTTGCTG